ATTTGGAAATATGCAAAGACAGACAACAGTTCACAAAGCCAGACCACCTCCATTTGTTGTCCCCAGTGGAACAGTGTTGTGGCCCCTTCCTCTCACCAATCAAAGAGCAAATTCCCAATAAGTCTCTGCCATATACTGGAGCTCTAGCACAACGACGCTCATTTCCAGAATATAGTCTATCCAGGCGCTCCTTCAGAAGCCTGTTCTTTTCTTCAAATGATTCCTTTGCCAAGAAAAAGTGACAAAAATTGTGCTGCTTATGAGGATGACAAAAGCTTGAGTTACTCTAGAGAACAAAACTCTAAACATTAAAACAGAGATAAGTTATGTTTTATATCATTCGCTTGCAAAAATGGTATAGCCACTGCACTTGGTTTCAGCTGTTAAAGGATTACACTTAATGTACAATTTGAAGAACACAATTAAACTCAACTATAGTTAAAAGGCTCACTTCCATCATAACTTTGAATTTTCCTTGCTTTTGCTAATTTACATTTTGTTTTCATAGTTTTATTTTAAAAAGTGTTTTGTTAACTTATATGGAACATTCTAAAACAGATATAAACTTCCTATGATCTAACTATTCACCATGCAGAAAGCTTCTCCAAGTCACCTAATTTTGCTGTCTTTCCAGATTTTTATGGAAATTTCTTCAAAATTTCTCACCTTTAAAACAAATTTTAAAAATAGACATTTCCAAGCTTCCTCCATATTAGGAACACATAGGGAATTTGATGGTTATCATAACTGTTCCCACAATTAGAGGATACTAGGTCTTTCTGTAAATTATTGCATTCTTAATCTATTTACGATGTAATATCTTGTCTACCAATCAATATACACAAGCAATCCATTCACTGCTATTGGAGCTTCACATGTCAAAATAAGTTCATTAATAATTCCTAGCTTGTTTTAAATTCAAAAATTTAAACAAAATCTGAAACACCAAAAGAAATTGTTTTGCCTATTCTATAAATAAAAAATACTATACTCCAACTGTATTTTTTTTTAAGTTTGTAAATTTTATTCCCATACTATTTGCAATTTATACAATATTAATTCTGAGAAATTATGTTTACACTGGAAAATAATTGCAAATACCTGTGGTTGTCCACTATGGCTAGGTGCAGGTTTTAAAGCTGATGCCGTGTCACCTGATGTTAAGTTAGTAACTGCAGTTCTACCTGGAATACAAACTAAAGATAAACCAAGTGTTTATATTTCCTTTTAAATAAGACCTTTTCAAGTTAACACTTCTCATTTCTGTAGTTGTATACGTATAATACTTCTCAGTTTTTACAGTAATATAATATTCCAACAATGTACCAATGTTGTTAGGATTCAAACAGCTGACAGATGTTTATACCAATTTCTTAAAAGAACTAACAAAGTTCCCAAGGCAGAAAAGGACCACTAAACAGCCATCAAATACTAACTAGCAAGCCAAGTTGGATTGGGACCAGTGACACAGATGAAAAAAAATGTTATATCTTCGTTCTTCTTAATTCTGCCAGAAAAAACCTGTGTATGCTTCTAGTTCAGTATACACAGTGAAAGAACTTTGTCCATTTGAAGTGGGGAAAAAGGGCTTTGCATTTTGTCTACTGTTTTGCTTAATTCACTTATTTTTCCTTTAGTGAGGAGACCCTTGTTTGTCATCGGGACAGATCTATAGGAAAAAGAGGTTACATTTACAAAATAATACAGGAGGAGAAGAATCTGATTTACAATCAAGTGGAATGGGTTTGTACTGAATAATCTTAATTTTTATCCTTAGTCCATTACGAGGACTTTAATTTATCTTCTATGATGTGATTATAAGTTTGGTGTACCAAATTATTCAGGTGAGTCTCACCTAATAGGACTGTCTCGTATTCTCCAACATCTTTTTTAAAAGATGTTTTGATAAATCTTCTCTGCATTTTTCCCACATGTATTTTATTTGTTCAGGAAGAACAACAAGAAAAAGCCAGTACAGTATTACTGTTAGGATTTTATATTCAGCCAAATTCTTTTGTACATTTACCACCTAATATCTGCAGGGTATTGCTTCTGCAGGATTTATGTAGCAGAACGCAAAAGGGCCGCTGCAGGCCAGATCTGGCCTGCCAAGCAGGTTGATCCGGCCTGCAGAGGCCCTGCCACACTCCCTCCCCCCCAGACCAATTAGGGCCCGGGAGCAGTGGGGGAAATAGGGTTACTAGGTGTCTGGTTCTGAACCAGACAGTCCCGTATTTGAGCTTTCTGTTCGGGAAACAAATTGAGAAAATATAAATGAGAAAATATAAATGTCCGGTATTTTCTAACTAAGATGTAATGTCAATTGTGATGTAATGTCAAGTGTGTCCAGTATTTTTGTTGAAATCATCTGGCAACCCTAGGGGTTTTGTCTGCCCTTCAAGGAGCGCATGGCACTTAGAAGAGCCACGTGTTCCTGGATGGTGGGAGGAGACTTTGTGCACTTTCCCTGCCCCCAAACCCTGATTAGCCTGGGGGCAAAAGGGGGAGTGTGTGAAGTCTCTTCCTACCACCAGGGGTCTGGGCGCCTAGGGGGAACCTCTGGGAGGAGCAGCAAAGACTTCACGTGCTTCCTCCATCTCCAGACCAATCATAGTTTGTGGGTGGGGAAGCATGTGGCTCCATCCTTTCCGGTGAGGCCCAGGGCCACTTCAAAAATTTCTGAAGTGTCCCTTGGTAAAAAATAATTGATCACCTCTGGTCTAAGGATACAAGTACTTGTGCATAACTTATGCATAAGCAATAAATCATTAAAAGCTACTCCACCTTCTAACCTAAGACTGGACATTCCCTACCTCTTTTCTCCCTCAAAGGTTCCACAATAAACAGACAGGATTTGAACCATACAGATTTCTTAGTGCATGAAAAAAGGATCAGCAAAGGGCCTTTTTTTAATGATTATTTTGCAGGTGACCTTCATACAGGAGCCACTTGGGGAATACCCACCCATAAAATACCCACCTGGATAAGTGAAAAAACAAATTGACAAAGCCAAAAAAATACTCAGACATGAACTACTTCAAGACAGACCCAAAAGAGAAAACAACAGAACTCCTCTTGTTACCTACAGTCCACAACTCAGACCCCTCCAAGACATTATACACAATCTACAATCTATGTTGGAAAATGATCCCTCACTCTCAGAGGCCTTAGGAGAAAAACCTATTCTTGCCTACAGACAACTCACTAACCTGAAATGTATTCTTTCTGATAACCATGCCACACAACCACATCATAAACCTCCAGGAACCCAGCCCTGCAATCAAAAAAGATGCCAACTCTGCCCATATATCTACACTGGCGAATTCATCACTGGCGTAAACAACATAAGCCACAAAATCAAAGGGTCATTTGACCGTACATCCAGTAATTTGATCTATGCCATCAAATGCCAGCAGTGCCCCACTGCTATATATATTGGAGAAACTGTACAGTCTCTGAGGGAAAGAATCAATGGACAGAAATTGGATATACCTAAAGAAAATATATAGAAGCCTATTGGTGAGCATTTCAACTTGCCCTAATTACAATTTGACAGACTTGCAGGTGGCTGTCTTGTCACAAACCAGCTCTACAAGCCAAATACACAGAGAAGCCCTGGAATCCCAGTTCACCCACAAATTCAATTCACAAGCTAATGGACTCAATCGTGATATGGGCTGGTGGGGACTCTACCTATTTAATAACCACTGAAGGTGCTAAAAGCTCCCAGAGTCGTATCCTTCCTGTTTTAGGTATAGGCAGTCCCCGGGTTACGTTCAAGATAGGGACTGCAGGTTTGTTCTTAAGTTGAATTTGTATGTAAGTCGGAACTGGTACATATTGTAGGGGAAACTCTAGCCAAACATTTTTTTTAGTTTTGGATAGCATAGGGAAAGGTTAACTCCCCTCTAATGTTTGTTTTGCTGTCTGTTCCCCTGTTCAGAAGATTTCACATCTATTTCTGTCCCTGTGACAAACTCAGGACTAAAGGAGTAACTCATCAAATACCAAACAGCTCTGCACCATGCTTTGAGCTAATAGCTTTATTTCCACACACCACCCAGGGTTCTAGGAGGAGGGTCCTTTTTTTGCTAACACAATGAGGCCAGCACTTTGTTTGTTTTGGTGGAGTCTTTGTTTGCCCAGGGAGCCCAGCATGTATAGGGGGAGGAGGGGCGGAGAGGCTGCTTTTGTCTG